AGTATGAGGTTGGCACCAAGGGCACGAGCAGAGGGAAGGATGTCATCAAGATGGTTAATGAGCGTAAGGTCACTGGGCCCCGTCGAACCTGGCCTGTAAGCAGCGCCCAAGACCATCTTTTGCCCAGGGGACAATTGAATGGATAGCCAAATGAATTCGTGATGGGGAGAAAATAACTCATCAATTACCATGGCTGGGAGTGTAGATCTGATCCATACCGCCACTCCGCCACCGCGTGCTGTTCGATCCAGCCGGAAGGTGGTGTAGCCAGGGAATGTGGAGTCGGATGGTGGGACTGTTTCAGGGGAAAACTTTGTTTCCGTCACTACTGCTATGTCGGGATTATGCTGGTGCAGTGTGTGCTGGAACTCAGCTAGCTTGTTTCCTAAGCTAAATGCATTGGTGCAAAGGAGTCTGAGTGAACATTTAACGGTATTGACTACATACATTTAAAAAAGATACAGCTAAAGAAATTGTATTCTGATGATCTATCATTACTAATAAGACATTATAGTTCTAACAGTTCTCACGGTTTTCATGTTTCTACAGAATTAAAGGTTGCTGAAGCGAAATCCAGAAACATTCTCTTTTCCCCGCTTTCCCTTCTTTCCCTGAGCTGCCACGCAAGGTTCTGTGGATTTACTGGTTGGCGATGACTCATGGCGTTTTCCACGACGTAGGGGAGGCACTTCTACAAACTCCTTCATCCAATCGTGGTCAGCGGCATCACTCAGGAGTTTGTTGATTCGAAGGTCCTGGGAGGCAGACAGGGACTTATCCTCCGATTGGTGAACAGGTTCCTCAGGTTGTGAATAGGCTTGGTCAGAAGCGCACTTGTCCAAGCACTGTTCGGCCGGCTGACTGGCAGGTTCAACAGTCCCATGCTCAGCAACTGGAAGGGATTGTGTCAAACAAGGCTTCTGACTAGTTGTAGGGTTATCATCGTGTTGTTCAGTCTGAGAGTTGTTGTCGGTGGATTTCGAAGAAGCCTTGCCGGGCTCCGTGGCAATGGACATACTCGCAGAGCTAGAAGTACTCGCTAGCTGAGAGTCTTTCAAGACCGGTGCCTGTTGTTGTTGTTGTTGATTTTTATTTTGCTTCGCAAGGCCAAACGGGCAATGGTGCCCAATTCTATGGAAGCGAATTTCAAAAGGGAGAGAGCTACGGGGAGAGAGAGAGAGAGAAAGAGAGAGAGAGAGAGAGAGAGAGAGAGAGAGAGAGAGAGAGAGAGAGAGAGAGAGAGAGAGAGAGAGAGAGAGAGAGAGAGAGAGAGAGAGAGAGAGAGGGGGAGGGAGGGAGGGAGATGATAAGCAATTTTGTAGCGTCAACAGAGCGATTTTGCAGTGTCAATAGAGCGATTTTGAAGCATCAACAGAGGGAACACAAAGAGTTCATAACTTGAGCGCACAAGCACGCAGAGAAGAGTAAATGACGTGGTGTGTGGACGGGAAAAGTCAGACAGAGCATTCATTGCAAGGTGTAGGGGATGGAGGCAAGCTTAAATTGCTGGGCAGCCTTGATCTCCCTTACACTCCTTGGGAGAGCGTTCCAGGCCAAGGCTGCCTGAAAGGCCAGGTGAGATCTGCCGGCTTCTGACTGTGCCGAGGGGACAGTGAGGCCCCTGGAAACCTGGTGCCGGGTGGTGCTGCCAGCTGATGGTGAGAATAGGTCCTGGAGGACACTGCTGGCTTTCCCATTGACACAGCGCCACACCAGGACGAGCCCCTTCTGGGCGTAGCACTCCCGAACTCTGTACAGGGACATCCGTTCGAGCAGAGGCTGAGCCGAGGTGTGAGGCGGCAAACCGTATACCGCTCTCGCCGCTCGGTTCTGCATGACCTGAAGGCGATCAAGCTGCGAAACCTTGAGGGAGGAAGAGAAGGCGTTAGACCCATATAGGAGGTCAGGCATGATGACTGACCTCACATACTGGATGCGACTACTGAGGCTCAGACATCTGCGGGACCGCCACAATGCTCCAATCTTCTGCACAACTTTCTTCGCCATCGCGTCAACATGGGGGTCCCACTTCACAGCGACGTCAAGGGTCACGCCGAGGTACCTTGCTGTTGGGCTCAGGGGAAGCTCTGTCTGGTTGCAGCGGACAGCGACATGCTGACCCGCATTGCGTTGTGGTACAATTGACAGGACCTGGCTCTTCTTGTCATTTAGTAGCAGATGTTGATGCTTGAGCCAGTCAGCGACGTTGGTGACGGCCCCTGACAGGCAGGCTGATGTGGCTAGCACTGATTTTCTGTGGCAGTGCACTGCAATGTCATCGGCAAATTGCAGAGATGGAGCAGGATGGGCTATGGCAGGGACATCACGGGTGTACATGCTAAACAGGATCGGTCCTAGGACCGAGCCCTGTGGTACACGAGATGAGCACTTAGCAGCAACACTGTAGGTGGGGCCAATGCGCACTTGCTGGGTTCGATCGCTTAAGTAGCTGCAGAACCAGCGAAGGGAGGCATTGTCCAGGCCGAGATCGAATAGGTCCCGGACCAGTTGGCTGTGATTGACCTTGTCAAAGGCTTTTGACATGTCGATTAGGCAGACGCCTGTGGTCAACTTGTCGTCCCGGGCCTTTAAGATGGCATCTGTTGCTGCCTCAGCGTTGGATTTACACAACTCCGATAGTACGTCAGGTGAGGGGGTCTCCCATCGCCTGGTACATGGTGTGCGCTGAAGGCATCCGTTGTTTCCGGACTGGGCATGCACTGGCCAAGTGAGCAGTTGAGTCGCAGATGCGGCACGTGGGTTTTTGATCTTCGTATTGAACTCTAAATCTTGTACTGCCTGTTGCACTGACATACGATGGAATGGCCACGCCGTGTGCCAGCATAAAAGTGGCGAATCTGACCCCAGTGGCGGCAAATTTGCCAGACTTCAACTTCAGGCGGCCATGTCGAACTGTGCCTACTACCGTACCGTACGAAGATAATGCTGCAATGACTGCGGGATCTGAAATCCAGACAGGAATGTCGTGCATGTGCAACTGATTGTGTGGATTTACCAATGGCACAGGGACAATTTGTTGTCCTCGAACGGAGAAACCTTCAAGGGATAGTTTTCTGATTGATTCTTGGCAGCTGAGCGTGATGTGGCATCTGCCTGTGCTTAGCAGTTGAATGGATACAATATCCTCATATCCGTGACCCTCTAGAGCTTCTAAATAGTCATGAATGCTTACTTGTTTCAAAGCTGGGAAAGAAGCAGTACAGCTCTTCAGGTGGGCGGGTGCAACACCTCTCCATGCGTCCAAGCTCTGGTCACCCGTCGTTGCAACATTTGCAGGGTCAGACCCTGCCTCCATGCCGTCTGCTAATGCTTTACTATCAGTATACTGTGAAATACGGACCTAAACGGCCATTTCTACCGGAGCCCAAAAAACGCAAACCGGCCTCGAAGTGGGTTTGCGCTACATGTACATGTAGAGTAAAACCTGGTGTATGCGACCTCTGTGTTTAGCGACCTCTGTGTTTAGCGACCTCTGTGTTTAGCGACCTCTGTGTTTAGCGACCTCTGTGTTTAGCGACCTCTGTGTTTAGCGACCTCTGTGTTTAGCGACCTCTGTGTTTAGCGACCTCTGTGTTTAGCGACCTCTGTGTTTAGCGACATCTGTGTTTAGCGACATCTGTGTTTAGCGACCTCTGTGTTTAGCGACCTCTGTGTTTAGCGACCACCTGCTCTTAACGATTGTTTCCCCTTGAACGGACAGTTCTACACAGACACTGCGGGACCTGGTTCTAAAGACCACCTGGCGTTAACGACCGCTTTTGCTTGCACCGTGGGGTGGTCGCTTAAACCAGGCTTTACTGTACTTCAATCATGTATGGTTCAACAAGACAGGACAGGACACACACGGTTCTTACCAGAAACCAATTACTACCAGGATGAGAATGAAAGAAAAAACGCTGCCAGCAGCATTAGCAAGCAAGAAAGACAGCTGAGAGAGTTTGCGATTTAGTGCAGAGGCACAGGGGTGGTGGCAGAGGTGTGCGACAAGCCTCATAGTTATTGTTTTTGTTAACGAGAAGAAAAAGATGCTGACTAAAAAGAGCAAGGCTGGGCTGAGTGAAGAATGCACATGCTGACATATCAGTTATTGTGTTTGTCAACATCGCTAGAATGACACTCGTCACCTCATCTCAGTAAGGCAACGGGTGAAACGTCACCAAGGCATACTACCAGCAATGCAAACAGAAGCTAACGGTACCGTAGCGGTACATACGTATAACAGTGAAGCGTTTACAGTCGCTTACAATCAACACCCTTACTTACAGTCGCTTACAATCAACGCCCTTACTTACAGTCGCTTACAATCAACGCCCTTACGCGCTATACGGATGGCTAAAAACAACGTCCGCCATCACGGGCAGCTATGATGACGTCAGAATATAGAAAGATCGCCTGATGCAGTTGAAAACTGGCGACATCATGATGATGTCATAATTATAGTCATGATGTCATGAATCTCAGAGCTACTTACTCTACTCAAATAAAAAAAGTCTAGAAAATTGTGTTAAGTTGTTTTCAACTGCCTCAAACCTATGAAAATTGTACTATTGTATACGTTATTTGAGGTATTAGAAAGGATTAGCAGAGAATCTGGTTAGGTCTCCAGTGAAATAAAACCAAACGAAACAGAAATGTAATGTTAAAAAAGTATCCAAGAACATGTCAACGATATCGGCAAATCACAGATCGCAAACAAGCACTCAACACGTGGACACAGACCCACACGTCACACACACACACACACACACACACACACACACACACACACACACACACAAACACAGACGTGCACACGCGCGCACACAAACACAGACGTGCAGACTCGCACACAAGAAGACCCGCACCCACACACGCACCCGGACTAGAATAATCATCAAGGGGAGGCGGCATGATATCAGAAACGAAACGGTGCGGGGAAACGTCCAGCGCTTCAACCGCTAAAGAGAATGGATGACTCGAAGACAAGCACACACTCTCGCAGATCTAACACTCATTGTTCAAGACTACATAGCAGATCTAGCATTCATTGCTCAAGGGTACATAGGACCTGTGGTGCTCATTGCTCAAGGGTAAATAGAAGCTCTGGTACTCAGGCACTAAGGCACTGGTCAAAGGATGTTGTAGGAGTAGTTACTGTGTCTGTAGGCTCAGAAGCATCCGCCTAAACACATACACACCACACACGCACACGCACACGCACACACACACGCATACGCACACACACACAAACACACAAACACACGCACACACATGTTTGCACCACACATACACACGCACAGCGCCAACGTGAGGGAGAGGGAGAGAGAGGGAGAGAGAGAGAGAGAGAGGGAGAGATATGACGGTGAGGAGTATGGCAGTGGCTTGGTGGCAGTGATGATGACAAGAGAAGTAACGTGGTGCTGTGGCGATGTGGTGCGGTGGTCGTGTTGACTAATCTGACCTCTTTTTCGGTGTCGGAATGACAACGAAATGCGTGTCCATCTGTGACAACAGCAACAGCAACAATCTTGTAAAATTCAAAGTGATGTAAATCACTTTCCAACTGCATAGCCCACAGCCCCACCCACAGCATCTCACCTTCTCATAAACTTATCTCTTATTGGCGGTGGTGCCATCGTGAGAATAAAGAATTCAAATTCAAAACAAATCTCAACAACAAGCTCAACAACAACAACAACAACAACAACAACAACAATAACAACAACAACAACAACAACAACTTGGCACTTGCCAACTCCGCGGACTGACCGCTGTCTCCATTCTCCCCTGTACAAGGCCCTTCATTACTTTAATTGCTTGCCCACCCAGCGTCGCGAAATCCCCTCTCGTACTCTCTTCAAATCCCAGATATCCCTGCTGTTGCACAACTCTGTATGCTCGTGTAGCGACCACCCCTGCCCGTACACTTAAGTAGTCGTTAACCCGTAGGCTCTGCCCACCCAATTCTTCCTCACTCTTTCTCCTTTCTTACACTATTATCTCTTATTGGCCACTGGCTATCGTGAGAATAAAGATTTGGAACAACAACAACAACAACAATGGCCAACATTATTATCACGCTTTAAAGTTAAACATTATACCCTTCGCACATTCTCTGCGCCACAATTATGCCCCACCACATATACTCTCGCTGCAGCGTGCAACCTTCGTATAATTTACGTCGCTCTCGTACTTGGCACTTGCCAACTCCCAGGACTGATCGCTGTCTCCACTCTCCCCTGTACAAGGCCCTTCATTACTTTAATTGCTTGCCCACCCAGCTTCGCGAAATCCCCTCTCGTACTCTCTTCAAATCCCAGATATCCCTGCTGTTGCACAACTCTGTATGCTCGTGTAGCGACCACCCCTGCCCGTACACTTAAGTAGTCGTTAACCCCTAGGGCTCTGCCCGCCCAATTCTTCCTCACTCTTTCTCCTTTCTTACACTATTATCTCTTATTGGCCACTGGCTATCGTGAGAATAAAGATTTGGAACAACAACAACAACAAAGGCCAACATTATTATCACGCTTTAAAGTTAACATTATACCCTTCGCACATTCTCTGCGCCACAATTATGCCCCACCACATATACTCTCGCTGCAGCGTGCAACCTTCGTATAATTTACGTCGCTCTCGTACTTGGCACTTGCCAACTCCCAGGACTGATCGCTGTCTCCACTCTCCCCTGTACAAGGCCCTTCATTACTTTAATTGCTTGCCCACCCAGCTTCGCGAAATCTCTTCTCGTACTCTCTTTAAATCCCAGATATCCCTGCTGTTCCACAACTGTGTGCTCGTGCAGCGACCACCCCATGCCCATGCACTTAAGTAGTCATTAATCCCCATGCCCTGCCCACCCAATTCTTCCTCACTCTTTCTCCTCTCTTACACTATTATCTCTTATTGGCCACTGGATATCGTGAGAATACAGATTAGAAACAACAGCAAAACATGTTCTTGCAGCTAATGGACAGTGCTACTGAGTGTTATCCAATCAAGCGAGTAAATGCCACGCCGAACGCTGTGCAGCCCTAGACTTGTTTGTTTGTTTTTACTTCACCAGACACACAGGCAGTTCTGCCATCTCGTCTAATTATATGGCTAGGCTTTCGATAAAGGATGAAGTTGCAAACATCGGAATGCGAACTAGCCCAGCGCACACATTTGGTTCATGCCATCAGATTCTAGTGAGCAGCATTGTACAATCATGTTCTTTCAGCAAATAGGACGATGCACGATGGCTACAAAAGTAGGGAAATCCCCCCCCCCCCCCTCCCCCTGTGTGCAGTTCGGAGTATTTCACTTCAAACACGGCAATTTCATCTCAGAGCATCTCGAGAGACAGAAAGACAGAGATAGATAGATAGATAGAGAGGGAGAGAAAGAGAGAGAGAGAGAGAGAGAGAGAGAGAGAGAGAGAGATAGAGAGAGTAAGTGAGTGGAAGGGGCATAGCCTCACAGGGAGAGAGACAACGGGGTGGATAGATACGTACATCATCATCTGCGTAGATGTGGAAGCAGTTATCGCAAACACGCTCTGGTTTGTAATAACCAAACTTGGGCAAACGAATGCGCTGTCTGGTACACTCTCCACAGAACACCTGACCACAGCCACTAAGGACAAGTAAGTAAACAAGAAGAAGAAGAAGAAGAAGAACATTCATGACCAGAAAACAAAAATAATACAAATAACACGTAGAAGAGGCAAAGAAGAACAAGAAAGCAAAACAAGAACAAGAATAAATCCAATAAACAGCCATAGGACTGCAGAGTGTGCCGGAAAACCAAGTGCAGTAGAGATCCCCTTATCCGGGCATGTTGAGGCAGGGCAAGTTGGGACAGGGTATGTTGGGGCAGGTCATGTCGGGGCAGGGCAAGTTGGGACAGGGCATGTTGAGACAGGGTATGTTGAGACAGGACATGTTGGGACAGGACATGTTGGGACAAGAAATGTTGAGACAGGGCATGTTGGGACAGGACATGTTGGGACAAGACATGTCGGGACAAGACATGTTGGGACAAGACATGTTGGGACAGGACATGTTGGGACAGGACATGTTGGGGCAGGACATGTTGGGACAGGACATGTTGGGGCAGGACATGTTGAGACAGGGCATGTTGAAGCAGGACATGTTGGGACAGGACATGTTGAGACAGGGCATGTCGGGGCAGGACATGTTGGGACAGGGCGTGTCGGGGCAGGGCATGTTGGGACAGGGCTTGTTGGGACAGAGCATGTTGGGGCAGGGCATGTTGGGGCAGAACATGTTGCGGCAGGACATGTTGGGACAGGGTATGGTAGGACAGGGCATGTTGAGAGACGACACGCCCCTAAACTAGAAGCTGCCCTACGAACTCAGAACACATCTGCTCTTTGCATGTAAGTACACTGTGACAAGACCATTTTTCGTGACTGTAGAGGTGCAGAGACCCATATGGGAGAGATAAAGGAGAGGAAAGTAGAGATAAAGGAGAGGAAAGTAGAGATAAAGGAGAGGAAAGGAGAGATAAAGGAGAGGAAAGGAGAGATAAAGGAGAGGAAAGGAGAGATATAGGAGGGGAAAGTAGAGGAAAGGAGAGATGAAGGAGAAAAAAGGAGAGATAAAGGAGGGGAAAGGAGAGATAAAGGAGGGGAAAGGAGAGATAAAGGAGGGGAAATGAGAGATAAAGGAGAGGAAAGGAGAGATAAAGGAGAGGAAAGGAGAGATAAAGGAGGGGAAAGGAGAGATAAAGGAGAGGAAAGGAGAGATAAAGGAGGGGAAAGGAGAGATAAAGGAGAGGAAAGGAGAGGAAAGGAGAGAAAAAGGAGAGGAGAGGAGAGATAAAGGAGAAGAAAGGAGAGATAAAGGAGAAGAAAGGAGAGATAAAGGAGGGGAAAGGAGAGATAACGGAGGGGAAAGGAGAGATAAAGGAGGGGAAATGAGAGATAAAGGAGAGGAAAGGAGAGATAAAGGAGAGGAAAGGAGAGATAAAGGAGAGGAAAGGAGAGATAAAGGAGAGGAAAGGAGAGATATAGGAGGGGAAAGTAGAGGAAAGGAGAGATGAAGGAGAAAAAAGGAGAGATAAAGGAGGGGAAAGGAGAGATAAAGGAGGGGAAAGGAGAGATAAAGGAGGGGAAATGAGAGATAAAGGAGAGGAAAGGAGAGATAAAGGAGAGGAAAGGAGAGATAAAGGAGGGGAAAGGAGAGATAAAGGAGAGGAAAGGAGAGATAAAGGAGGGGAAAGGAGAGATAAAGGAGAGGAAAGGAGAGGAAAGGAGAGAAAAAGGAGAGGAGAGGAGAGATAAAGGAGAAGAAAGGAGAGATAAAGGAGAAGAAAGGAGAGATAAAGGAGGGGAAAGGAGAGATAACGGAGGGGAAAGGAGAGATAAAGGAGGGGAAATGAGAGATAAAGGAGAGGAAAGGAGAGATAAAGGAGAGGAAAGGAGAGATAAAGGAGGGGAAAGGAGAGATAAAGGAGAGGAAAGGAGAGATAAAGGAGAGGAAAGGAGAGATAAAGGAGAGGAAAGGAGAGAAAAAGGAGAGGAAAGGAGAGATAAAGGAGAGATAAAGGAGAGATAAAAAGAGGGGAAAGGAGAGATATAGGAGAGGAATCGGAGAGATAAAGGAGAGGAAACGGAGAGGAAAGGAGTGATAAAGGAGAGAAAAGGAGACATAAAGGAGAGATAAAGGAGGGGAAAGGAGAGGAAAGGAGGGAAAGGAGGGGTAAGTAGAGGAAAGGAGAGGAAAGGAGAGATAAAGGAGGGAAAAGTAGAGGAAAGGAGAGGGAGGGAGGGGAAAGGAGGGAAAAGGAGAGGAAAGTAGAGATAAAGGAGAGGAAAGTAGAGGAAAGGAGAGGGAACGAGAGGAAAGGAGGGGAAAGAAGGGGAAAGGAGGGGAAAGGAGAGATAAAGGAGAGGAAAGGAGAGGAAAGGAGAGATAAAGGAGGGGAAAGTAGAGGAAAGGAGAGAAAAGGAGAGGAAGGGAGAGATAAAGGAGGGGAAAGTAGAGGAACGGAGTGGAAAGGAGAGGAAAGGAGTGGAAAGAAGAGGAAAGGAGAGGAAAGGAGAGATAAAGGAGCTGCTTACCGGCAATGGTGCTTGCGGCGTAACGTAGTGAAGTTCTGATGGCAATCATGACACTGCGGTGCGCGTTCGTTCGGCACCCACACAACAACCGTTGTATCACTGGATTTCGATGGTATCTACACACACACACACACACACACACACACACACACACACACACACACACACACACACACACACACACACACACACACACACACACACACACACACACACACACACACACACACACACACACACACACACACACACACACACACACACACACACACACACACACACACACACACACACACACACACACACACACACACACACACACACACACACACACACACACACACACACACACACACACACACACACACACACACACACACACACACACTTACACTGATGCATGCGCACGTACGCACACACAGACACACACACAGGCAGGCAGGCACACACACACGTGCAAACACATTGAGGCAATCAGCAGGCAGGACATTGCAGCAGCAACATACCAGACAATGGTGTAGAGAGGTTTGGAGAATTCTTTCAAGCCACAACGCTTGCCTACAAGGGTGTGCGAGACCTAATGCTAGCTTGGTGCCTCTAGAAGCAGGATCACCCTTCGAGAAGCCGATACGCCGAGTATGGATACTGTATAAGCAGAAATATTCGTCTGGAACTTCATTTCGTCTTTTTCGTTCAAGGAGCATTTGGACTAAACGAAATGCCGGACTAAGGTCGATTTGAGCAGGTTTTCAATACACTCTTATGGTCCATGGAGTAAATGGTCAGCCGGACGGACTCCCTTTCTTTGCAGTTGGGCGAAATTATTGACCGACGAAATTTGCTGCCTGTAGAGTATATTGAAGGCGCGATCTCGACGACGGGGAACAGAATGGTATCATCTCGACGACAGGGAACAGAATGGTATCATTAGAATTTGAGGTACTTCTTCTTATTCAATCACGCTTCCATTATGTACATAATAGTGTGCATCATACACATGCCGCCGTGTCTAGAAATAGAGGACAGAATGCCACATAGGGTAGATCTTCACAAGGCAGGGTGCATACTGTTGGGGAACATAGACCAACTGGGGACGGGGGGGGGGGGGGCAGACAGAGAGAAAAGGCAGGGTACATACTGTTGGGGAACATAGACCAGCTGGGGAGGGGGCAGAGAGAGAGAGACAAGACAGGGTGCCTGCTGTTGGGGAACATAGACCAGCTGGGGAGGGGGGCAGAGAGAGAGAGAGACAAGACAGGGTGCCTGCTGTTAGGGGAACAAAGACCAACTGGTGGCAGACAGAGAGTTGACTGACTACATGGTAGATGCACACAGTGCTGAGAATGAGAGTATGCCACTGCACATGAGAATGAGAGTATGCCACTGCACATGAGAATGAGAGTATGCCACTGCACATGAGAATGAGAGTATGCCACAGCGCATGACACACGTGACAGACATGCGCTCCAGAAGCGGTTGCTATGGAAACCTCATGAATCTACCATACCTACACACCGTCTTCCATGTACTGTAGTACAATCATACTGAAATACATTGACAAGACAAGTGCCCCACGCCACACTGGTCTTGCAGCCGTGAGGTACATACTGAAATACATTGACAAGACAAGTGCCCCACGCCACACTGGCCTTGCAGCCGTGAGGTACATACTGAAATACATTGACAAGACAAGCGCCCCACGCCACACTGGCCTTGCAGCTGTGAGGTACATACTGAAATACATTGACAAGACAAGCGCCTCACGCCACACTGGCCTTGCAGCCGTAGGTACATCCTGAAATACATTGACAAGACAAGCGCCTCACGCCACACTGGCCTTGCAGCTGTGAGGTGCATACTGAAATACATTGACAAGACAAGCGCCCCACGCCACACTGTCCTTGCAGCCGTGAGGTACATACTGAAATATAGTGGTCAAACGAATGTGCTAAACAACGAATCGAACCTTCTCTGGAAGTTCCTAACGAATACCGAACGAATGTCGCCCGTTTCATGATTAAGAAATCATTAAGAAATTATAGCTACTGACCAGTATGTAACACCCAAATCATAAGCGAAATTGCACACTGCAAGTTTGCAACAGAGACTGTAGATGCCATGACTCATTTATGAAGTGGACAGTGATGGTGATGTACCCCTTCATTCGTCTGCTTGTCCACAGGTCTGTAGTCAGCGACATGGAGCTGGCCTTTTCAAGGTTCTCCACCACTGCACCAGCAACTTCAGGCCCACGACGTGCTTCCGCTGAATTAGCTTTGTCACTTGAGTGGCAGACGGGACCGTGTAGCCAGGCTCGAGATACATGTAGTTCATGAGCGAAAGGAACCCCGCACCAGTGACTACGCTCACAGGTCGAAAATCTCTGCACACAAATTCCACCAATCGGTAGTCGCATCCAGAGGATCTAGCCGCTGGCACTTTCTTTGCCTTGAAGAAGGCAGTTATTCCTCCGTCCTTTTTTCGGTTTCGCCCCTGCGCCATCCAAGTCGACATGGTGAACGTCCTTCAGATGGTTATGTAAATTCGTTGTTCCGCCATGGTATGCCAAGTCTTTCGGCGGCTTGCACCGAGTACACGTAGCAATATTGTCCTGAGAATAAAGATAATATTGTCAGCCGTTTTCTCTATTCCGAAATCCCATACGGCAGAGCGCCTACTCTTCTCGGCCATGACGAACGTTGGGTGGATTTGATGAAGAAAGACTCGACGACGGCTCTGAGCAATAATAATTATTTCAGACAGACCGTCGAGTGTTGTCACGACAAAAATCGCCTGTAGCACTGCACTTCCAGTTTCACAGCCGGGCGCGATGCACTGCATGCGCACGCATCCAACCCAGACTAGACTTCACTGCTCAGACTAGACCTACTGTACGATCTTGAGGAAGTAATCAGTTGAGCACCAGTGCAGTGCACGCAGTCCACCCAGTCCACAACACAGTTCACATGGTTCACGCGCGCACCGACTCGAGTCTGGGCCAGTTCGTGATCGGACCACAAACATCCGGCCTTGTAGATCTACATGATTGTACATCTATCGTTACTTACTTTCACACCTCGCGTCAGCTACTAGTACTAGTTACATGACATGGCATGTATACATATGTACATGACACAGTCATCTCTTGAAGACAGTGCGGCACGGCTTCAAAAGTAGACGTGTGTACGTGCTTGCATGCATGAAAATCGCTGCTACGAGTGCAGAGTTCATAGTTTTGTGAGTTACGATATTCGTTTGGGCAGTCAACTTGACATTCGAATGTCGCCTCGAGAACGAACGTTCGAAGCTTCTCAGCATTCGTTTGACCACTACTGAAATACATTGACAAGACAAGCGCCCCACGCCACACTGGCCTTGCAGCCGCGAGGTGCATACAGAAATACATTGACAAGACAAGCGCCCCACACCACACTGGCCTTGCAGCTGTGAGTAATGCTGCTCCAAGTTTAGTACTACAGTATATGTACATGGTTATAGCAGTAAGGGCCGATTCATACTTCATGTCGCGTACGGGAAACGCGTCGCAACGCGATAAACTTGATCTGAGCTCAACTATTTCGCATACGGGAAAACCATCGCGCGATGGTCGCGCGATGGGTTTCCCGTACGCGAGATGAAGTATGAATCTGGCTTTAGAGTGCCGGCCCCAGTCATCCTATAGCATTCCAATGCCCATGACAGTATGTGTGTATGAAAGCATGTTGTAGAAATGCGGGCCACATACCTGCGGAGAGTCTTCGTCCATGTCTGACCTAGCTGCTAGCGATGCTTCATCATACTGCAGTAGATAGGTGAACCATAGCTGCATACGACGTAGACTGGTCTGCGGTCTCAGCAGCTGATCACACATACACACACACACACACATACACACACACACACACACACACACACACACACACACACACGTGCACACATACACACACACACGTGCACACATGTGCACACACACACGTGCACACACACATGCACACACACACACACACACACGGGCACACACACACATGACACCACATATTAGGTACAGCCTTGTTTGGTTGAATAACATGATGATTGGTTGACAGCATGTTACAAACCGGAGGACGCATTGTGTTGAAAACAGTGCTCCTACGGTTCAAATGGTCGCAACACCGGGGATACCAATGCCATGGATACCAATGCCATGGATACCAATGCCATGGATACCAATGCCATGGATACAGTGGTATGGAACGCGTTTACCCTGGTTCACAGGCGCTACGTCCATGTTGGCATGGTGACATGTTGGCATGTTGATATGGCGGCATGCACTTCCAGTACTGCACCAGCAGGTCACTGGCAACAGTCTGCGCTGCTGCACTCTACCCACTGCCTGGCTGCAGTCGGGTGGAGCACTGAACGGAGTCGGTGAGCCTTAAGGCCGGGTTCCACTGCGGCTCCGCTGCTCGTCATCCGCGGCTTGAAACGTCATCATTACCATAGTGACCGCGGCCCGAGCTGGAGCAGCGAGGCTGCGGCTCACCGCGAGCTTCCGCTACGATTCTTGATCAAAAACTGCGAACCGCAGCTAGACCTGTTTCCCGTACTTTGCAATGTTTTGTAAGCGAGAATTTTAAAATTCAAATTCTTATTCGTTGTGCAGGCCAGAACACAAGCATTTTTTCGATTTCACGTGCAGGCAGGTAAAACGTCATCAAACAACATGGAGCACGATCGCGGTACCGCGAATGGCGAGTGTCAGTGGAACCGCGCTGCTCCGCTGCATGCAGCCAAGTGCCGCGGAGCAGCGGAGTCGCAGTTGGAACCCGGCCCTTATGCAGGCCTGGCAGCAGGGCAGGTGCCTACAGGCTAGCTGAGAACGGTGCATGCGGCCCATGCATCGTACTCAGTAGCTAGCATAGTATTGGCCGGATTTGTTTGGCAATGACTGG